CCCGAGCTTGCTGGGAGACCGGAGAGGCAGCGGGAGCCTGTCTTGCAGCCGCCCCGCCCTCCCCGGGAGGAGCAGCTGGGCACGCACTCAGGCGCCTGCACTCTCTCCCAGTTCGAGTACAACCCGCAGTTCGCTGACTGGTCCAAGGAGACGAGGGGCGCACCGCTCATCAGCGTGAAGCCGCTGGACAACTGGCTGCTGATCTACACGCGCAGGAACTACGAGGCGGCCAACTCGCTGGTCCAGAACCTGTTCAAGGTCACCCCGGCCATGGGCATCCAGATGAAGAAGGCGGTCATGTGAGCCCCGCCCCCCCCCAGGCGGGCAAGGGCACCAGAGGGAGGGACTCGGGAGGAAGGTGTCAGAAGCAGGAGTCCCCGGCCGGCGTGGCTCAGTAGTTAGAGTGTCAGCCGTGTGCACACGGGGCCAGTTGGAGCACGTGTGGGAGGCAGCCAATCGATGTCTCTCCCTCTCCCTCCCTCCCCCCTCTCTAAAAATAAATACATTAAAATTTAAAAAAACAAGGAAGCTACCCTGGGGTGAGGATTAACAAAAAACACATCACATCAATGACGTAAAGGCCGATACAGGCCCACAGCCCGTGTGCGGACACGTGTGAGGCTGAGGCAGGGTGTGTGTGGGGGGGGTGCACTCCCCTCGCAGCGTCCGGGCGCTGGGACCTGGGGGCTCCCGGGTTGCGCGTCCGTCCGTCCGTCCTCAGCTCATCCGCATCCCCTTCAGGATCGAGGTGGACGACAGGACGGAGGCCTACCTGCGGGTCCTGCAGCAGAAGGTCACCTCCGACACCCAGATAGTGAGTCGCCCGCCCAGAGCCGCGTCCTGAAACCGCTGGCTAAGGGGCATCTGGAAATGTTAGGCCTGAGTTCACTCTCCAAGGTTCTAATCAGGTTCCCAAACCGCCCCACAGCGTCCGCCCTTGAGAAGGGGGCTGAGCAGGGGACAAGCCCGGAAGGCGGGGCAGGGCTGCCACGTCCCTGTTTCCTGGCGTCCGGGGGGCGGGGGTCCTCGGAAC